CCTTCTGCAGCAGAGAGCTCACCAGGTGAAAACAGTATCAGGCACACTACCAGACCCAAGTAGAGACCGGGCACCTGACTGGGGACATCGATGACCCCGCGACAGAATCTGCCCAAGCCAGGTATTGTCAGACCCACCAAGTCAGCAGGTCAGAGGCTCAGTAGCAATTCACTGTACAATGAAAAAGGTAGCCTTGGCCTTGGACCCAAGTGTGTCTGGCAGGTAACTGTCATTTACAGGAAGAGGTGGCAGTGGCCCCACATCTGCTTTGCACTGATATTTGTCTGTTAGTAGACGACAAACAAACAACTCTAGTCTGGTTCATATATAGGTCCGTTTGATGTTTTGATATGAACTGGAAATGGACCACAGCTACACTACAGTCCCGTTAGGGTGACCCTAAAGGACGATAATAGGAAATCCTTCATGGGGCTGAGCTTCCAGTAGTACATATGAATATCCACTTTGTATGGAGGGAGTGGAGAGAGTAGTAGCCTAAGGGAGGGATGCATATGAACTTCTGAGTTGTGACGTCCTGCTGGCTGTTCAGGGACCTGAAACGAGCAAGAGGGGAAGATGGAGACAAAGAGGTCTGGGGAAGATGGACCTACAGGAATGGCCCAGAAGATGTGCATCTTTATGCCTCATGTTAATACTCACTGCGGAGGAGCCACTGAACAGCAGGACAGATGGGGATGGATGTTGGGCAGCTGTGCCCTTGGCTAACAGCAGGACGGATGGGGATGGACGTCGGGCAGCTGTGCCCTTGGCTAACAGCAGGACGGATGGGGATGGACGTCGGGCAGCTGTGCCCTTGGCTAACAGCAGGACGGATGGGGATGGATGTCGGGCAGCTGTGCCCTTGGCTTCCCCTGTGCCTGCCCAGTGGACACATCATGCAGAAGGAGCACAGGTCATTGTCACCAGCACGGGCCTCTTACCAAGGCTTGTCTCGTGACTACTCCGGCTGAAAGTGTGACCTGTTAGCAGCTGAGGTCAATGCTGAGCCCCTGCTGAGATTCCATCCCTAGAGCACACCAACTTGTTACTTAGTGGCAAACTGGTTACAGCCATTCATCCTTGCTGGAGTTGATGCCCCTCTGGATATGAGTTTGTCTTCTGTATTCACTGTGTCCCAGGCCAGCATCACTATCCAGGAGCTTCAAGCATGCTCCATGTACCAACGTGGGATCATGGATAACATTGCCTCAGGCCAGGAAAGCCATTTTATAGTGAAAGAGGCATGGTAGTGTATGGATTGCCATGGGATCCGCTGCTTCTCCAATATCCAAATATCCTGCGTTACGTAAAAGCAGCTAGGAGATTGGAAAGATGGAATGATTTCTTAAGGGCTTAGCTGAGGTCCTGGACAGTATCCTGAGGAGCTGGGATATATACACTGAATCAAAGCCTAATATATGGTGCTCTGCCCCCAGGAGAAACATAATGTGGATCCAAGAACAAAGACACCGGTCCAAGAACCCAAGGGTTGGGGTTAGCTACTTCTCACCATCATTCCCAGTGATGATTCTCACACGTAAAATTTGTACATTTGGTCTCCACAGCCTTAGGATCTGCTCGATTAGAGCCTTTTTCCCAGGTAGGGAATGCTTCCATGAGGGCACTCCTACTGGTTGCAGGAAGGATACCTCCACTGAGCATGAATCTGCACAACCACCAGGTTACTGTCAGCTCCTCATGCTGGTGGACCAGCAGGCCCCAAAGGAGGGGATACTTGATCCTGATAAATAGTGAGAATGTAGCGGGCAAGCAGGGATTGGTCTGGTACTTAGAGGATTCATCTGGGTCTCTTGGTGCTTCCATGCCAACTAATGACAATGAAAAGGTCTTTTCAGCCACCATAGCCTCAAAGGGCTCAGACCCCTCAGGGTGGAAGTCTGGGAAGGCCATTCAGGCAAGCTGGAATGCTGGAATGCTGGTAAGGGTGAGGCCAAGGAGGAGGTGGGTGCTGAAGATGTGTTACTTGGGAGAAGCTGTATGTGTTCTGCTAAGCCTCTTGTATGAAGGCATTTATAGGAGTTGTAACTAGCCTTTACCTTGAAGAATTGTGACAGAGTAGGCTCAGTGTGGCAGCCGAGTAGACCTGAGGGGTGCAGGAGTTGGTGTCTTGACCGATGCCCTCAGCCCACCTTTAACTGCAGTGGCACAGAGGTGTATCTCTGCATCTCTGCGTCTCTATGTCCTTGCGCTGCCTGCTCCAGGCCTCCTCTGACCCCTGAGCCTGTGGTGAGATTGTGCCACTGCACTTCAGCCTGGGGCAACAGAGCTAAACTCCGTCTCAAGAAAAAAAAAAATGCAGGGTTGGGGGAAATACATGCAGGAATGGACTATGAGGATATAAAGCCAAGAATGAATTGTAGGTTAGTGCAAATTTATCAACATGTGTGCTCTTCAAAGAGAATCTGGACTCCACGTTTTGGCTGAAGCCTGGGGAGTAGCTATGACTGTGCCTGGTTGGCACAGTGGTTATGAACGAAGCCTGGGCGTGGTGGTCCA